GGACCTCCTCTTATTGAAAATGTTTTGCATGTCAAAAGAAATTGCCAACGAGTGAAAAGACAACCCACAAATTTGGAAAAAATCTTAACTAATAAGCACTCAGACAAAGGTCTGCTCTCTAAAATTTATAAAGAACTATAAAACATTAGGGTCCCCAAATTTAAAGACCCAATCCAAAAATGGGCATCTGAGATGAACACATACTTCTCAAAGGACGAAATTCTAGAAGCTAATAAATACATGAAAAAATGCTCCACATCACTAGCCATCTGTGAAATGCAAATTAAAACAACACTGAGATACCATCTCACCCCAGAAAGAATGGCTTGCATGAAGAAATCAACCAACAATAAATGTTGGAGAGGCTGTGGGAAAAAAGGAACCCTTCTCCACTGCTAGTGGGAATGTAGACTGGTACAACTATTATGGAAATCAGTGTGGAGATTCCTTAAAAAACTAGGACTGGAAATCCAGCTAATCCCCTACTGGGAATTTTCCCAAAAGAACTGAAAACATCATGTCATAGTGATATATGTGCACCTATATTTATTGTAGAACAATTTGTGATAGCCAAATCTTAGAAGGAACCAAGATGCCTGTCACCTGAGAAATGGATGAAAAAGATGTGGTATTTTTATGCAATGGAGTATTACTCAGCTATAAAGAAGGATAAAGTGAAAGCCTTCATATATAAATGGATGCAACTGGAAGATATACTCATAAGTGAAATAAGCCAGACCCACATGTATAAATATCAGTCTCCCTAGTGTAAGAATTCAAAAGAAGAAATAAAAATTTAAAGGTATAACACAACTAAATGGAAAACGAGAGCTTAAGGATTAAACAATTAAGAGAGACAAAGGTGAAAAACTAGAAAACATGGCAGGGGCAGAACCATACATTTATATGCACAAGATGGTTAAGGCAATGATCCTGAGAATCTCCATCAGGTTGTTGAAACTAGCAGTTGATTGGTAGGATTCTCACCCTGACTAACTATATATGCTGATACCTGTGAACTAAGCAACTGCCCTGAAGATAGCAATGTGTAATACTAGGGCCATTCTTTGAATGCTTGGCATTCTGGTCTTCCAAATACGTACTGCTTGTCATGTCAAATCAATTATTGCTATACTCTCTCTCAAGTAAATGTTTGTTTTTAAAAAAGGTAATAAGAAAACAAGAGACAAGAAAAAAATGTCATAGGACTGTCCTGGTATAATGTTGTATATGGTTAGATTTCTAAATTTCTGTGTAAAAATGTATAATTATTTATTATTATTTTTTCACATTCTATAGAGACTTAATGTTTAGCATATCAAAGATTGTTGGAAAATATCTGTTTCATGTTATATCTAAGGCATTTGATAGTCACACAGATAATGATGTTAAGCTCAACTGCCTATGTTATAGAGTAATAATATCATTAAGCTTCTCTTCTGGAGGGTAAACAATTTAAGTGTGCAGACCAAATAATTACAGTAAAAGAAGGGCTACAAGGATAGTCAATATTTTAGCTCTCATCCTTCAAGGTCAGTGAGGACTCAGGACATAAGGGAACCTGTACTGTAACATCCTGTAACTCAGTGGTGTCCCAAATTTTCTATTGGAGGAGATTATAGGGCCACAGAGGAAAGTGATTGACGATATAGAGTGTGCTTAAGGAGAGTAACCTAGAGAGAAAACATTCTCTCAGGCTTTCACAGAGAGCTAACTGATCAAGCAATGGCTGTGACTCATCCACAAGGCTGACACTGACAAAAGATCTACAAACTGTTGTACAGGATTTCAAGGTAACTCCTGAGGGGATTAGACTGACCTTGTCAGATACAAAAGTTACATTTTTTGGTAATATAGGTCTTGATTTATCTGGGTCTTAACCAGCTAGCAGAAAAGTATAAACACTAGGTATAAAAAGTAAAGCCATATTAATATGCTGAGTTATAAAAGGCTCAAGTCAACAACTTCTGACACTGCCAGTTCTGCAGATAACCCACTACTATATGGACTACTGGACCATATTGGATTATTTTGCTCAATTCACACACCTACAATATTGGAATGGCAATGTAATACCCATTTCTGACAAAACTAAACAAAAAAGGGGGATATAAATGAAGGACCATTTGTAGTGAAATATATATA